TGATCAACGTCCCCTCTTTATGGGGAGGATCTATGTAGTGCACGAGAGCACTAAATGTGGCATCAGAGGAGAAGTGGAGACAGTTCACATTAACAAAAAGGAGCATGCCAGCATCAGGAGATATAACAGCTTTCCCTATTAAATTCTAGGAGGTGACTGTATAGATACTTACATAAAAAATACTCAGTAAACTAATAGGCTGTATCTCCAGAGTGATTTTGTAGAACAGGCAGTTCAGACTGGCAGAAAATGCCTGGAGTCATAGAAGCTTGACTTCAATGGGCAGAAGGCATGAACAGACATTTCTCCAAAATGGAGAAACTGGCCACATTTTTAACTTCGGAGACTCAGTTCTTCATCTGTGAGATGGTGGTAACAGTCCCTAATCCTCAGGGTCACTCTGAAGGTAAAATGAGAGAGCAGGAGTAAGTGGCTGGTCCACGGCACATATTTAACAAAGATTTTGCCTTCCCATCCCCAGGTGAATCCTATATAGATCTTCATTATTCCTTGTACAGATGTATGGGCTTTAATATTCACACTGTTGTATTTCATAAAGATGGATGAATCATAGGCCATCTACTTGTACAATTATTTCATTCCCTCCCCCACTAGCTAAAAGCTCCACAAGGAGAGGGGTTCTTCCTGTTTCCTCCTAGTGTTAAGTGGTAAGGAGTGTATCACATATAGTACATGTTCCATCAGCATTTGTGGTAGGAAGGAAAGAAGACATTTTCCATTGAGGACTTACTAATGTGGTCTAAGCGTGTTGCTCTTTGGTGACCACCTTGAAGCATACGTGTGCCTTCAGAGACTCTCCAGAGAGAATGGTTGCTGCTCTTTGGACTGGTGCTCTCAAATGGCAGCATCAGATGTTCTGAACATCTGTAGGTGCCTCAGATTAAATCTGTTCTCCCCCCAGCACCCGCGTTCAAGTGAAAAGTTTGAAGTGACTCAAAATGGATTTTATTGCTTTTATATGTACTTTTTAGTCTACAAATTTTCAACAACAGAGTCTATTTATCACTGTAAATGCACAACCATTCAGTTTCAAAACAGAATGAGGGCAGATTATGAGCTAGCTTCGAAAATTAATTACCACTTATATAACAAAATTTTTTGTGGTAAAATGTGTTCTCAGTTCCAAATGACTAGCTCATGAATGAACTTCTAAAACCCAAACCATTTGTGCTTCAGGACTGTCTATAACACACTGATGAAATACTATGGAAGTTTTACCTTTATAATATCATTAATTAAAAAAAAATGTAATCTAAAGTAAAATCTAAAGCCTCCTTTTTTCCTTCCTTCTTTCCTCCCTCTCTCCCTTCTTTCACCCTCCCCTCCCCATGTTTCCCAAACACAGTTAAAAAAAAAAAAATCCCCTGTATTCCAAGCTGCATTGGCAGAAGAAGCTCCAAAAAAATGTTAAGGCTGTGACTCACCTCATTGTAATTCTGCTTATAGAATTTGTGGAAAAGGAATGAAATCCAAGAAAATAAAATAAAACTTTAAAAATCCCACTGATAAGCAAAAATCCTTTCTGTAGGAAATAGAGTTATATAAAAAGATTTATATTTTGTTTCATATAACTCAGAGGAAACCCATATCCCCTGTTAACTGCCACCTCTAATTAGTTACAGACCATTTAACTCCATAAATATTTTCAAGGATTAATGATAATTGACACATGTATTATGCTTTTAATCTTTTAAGAAATGTTAATATTGATTCTTTTCCCTAGAATCTTGGGATGGCAACAGTATTTTATCCCAGTCGAAAAAGAGGCAGAGATGCCACCTTGTAACCAGCCCTGTAATGGTTAAGTCAGCCTGGTTATGTACGTTGGCTGGGGTCTGTCTCCTTTCCACTCCTCCACTTAGCTCAGCTCCAGGCACCGCCAGGGTGATTTCTCTCTTTGTGTTCTTTCATTAACCACTTTCATTGAACCCCAAGGAAGCCTACGGACCAATGAATGCAAGGATTCTCAAACTTGGCTGTGCTTCCCCAACCACGTGGGGAAGCATTACGAAGAATACAGACGGTGCAAGGGTCCCATCCAAGACAGAATCCATCAGAACCTCTGAGCATGAGACTTGGGCCAACCAGTCTTGACCAACCTTAGTGTAACTTTAATGGAAACAGAACAGTGTTATTCAGACCTCTAACAAATGGAGTTGATTTTCAAAGGAAGAGAGGAGTTTTTGATGGGGATCTGTCAAAGTCAATTTTATGTGTCTACCCGACTGGGCCACAGGGTACCCAGGTATTTGGTTAGACATTATGTCTGTGAGGGTGTTTCTGGGTGAGATTAACACTTGAGTCAGTAGGCTGAGTAAAGCAGATTGGCCTCCCCAATGGGGGTGGGCATTATCCAATTCACTGACGGCCTATATAGAATCACAGGATGAAGAAGGGAGAATCTACTCTCTCCACCTGACTGTCTTCAATCTGGGACATGGGTCTTCTCCTGTCTCTGGACTCAGACAAGGACTAGAATCTCTGCCATCAGCTTTCCTGCTTCTCAGGCTTTTGGACCTGGACTGAAACTGTACCATCGGCTCTGCTGGGTCTCCAGCTTGTCAACTGCAGATCTCAGGACGTCTCAGGCTCCATAATCACGTGAGCCAATTCCTTATATGCATGTACAGCCATGCAAGAGCGTGCACACACGCTTGCACACACACACACACACACACACACATCCTACTGATTCTGTTTCTCTGGAGAACCCTGACTAATACAGGATCATATTTCTTTCAACCATGTGTGCTAGTTAAATATATATAAAGGTACACAGACAATGTTCGACGGATATTTTACAACAATGAGACAAGGAAGCAGAGGGCAAAGTGCCATTATGCTAGAATAAAGGTTGAGAAGGTCCCTACTTGGGGACCTTCTTTGTAAAGAAGGCTCCTTGTTCAATTGGAAGGAGCTGTGCAGGGATGCAGAATGAAGGTTTTTTTTTTTAATAGGAAAATACTTTACATTCTGTTCACATAAACATAAATAATCTCATATGATTCTAAAAAATAGGATGGTGAGACTGTGAATATAGTTTAAAGGTGAAGATATTGCCTGACGGTATTGAATAATGATAAGCTCCCTACCTCTTTGTATCTAAAATGTTTACTGAAAATATAAAAGAAAAATATCATCAGGAAGAGAAAGGCAGTGCTAAGTGCCGAAGTCAGTGGGATGCAAGGACACAAGGATTCTCAGGGTATCAGAAGCTCATTGGCCTGGGCCTTCTTTTTTCATTCTGTCTCTTGGTTCCTGTGAGCTGTGGTCTATGATATTAAGTACCAGAAATGCTGGTGTTCCTTACGGTTGATGCTCTCTCCTGTATTTGCCTCTTTTTCTCACCCTTCTTCAGTCTCTCTCTCTTTTTTCATTCCTTCTTTATTTAAGCAGTGGATAAGTGTTTTAGGAAATACATTAAAAATCAGTCATATTAGTATGATGGGGCTCTAAACTAGGGATGAGGATTATTTGGGAAAATGTGTTCTCTAATAAAAACATTTAAAAGTGAAAAAAAAGCTCTGGTATTGCAATTTAAAGCAAATCACCTAAATACAGATAGATAAAGAAAATAGGGCAAGATAATGGCATCTTTCTGAGTTTCCTACATCAGAACTTTTCAAGCAAACTTACCACACACAAGCAATTGGGGAAAAAAAATTCACAAGTGAATAATTTAGCATATAACCCTCAGCAAAACCTAATGAAAAATCACCAAGCTGGATTTCAATATAAATTGTTGCATACAAAACCTGTTTTGCAAATATGTTACAGGTTTTAATGTAAGTTGCTGCATAAAATGTGAACAGTTTTACAACAACTTTATTCTGTAATTTAGACTTTTAGCTTAACTGCATGGCTTACTTATGTAACGCTACAAAATGATGAGTCTGGAAGGCTTGAGCTTATAAGGGAAAAATGCCTTCACTTTAGTGATTCCAGTTTAAACTTACAGAAATATCAAATTACTTATTGAAAAAAATCCCAGATGAAGTAAAAAAGGAATGTTCTGGGAAGTTGCCGTTGACAGTCTGTTGCCCTGATCTTATAGATGTTTGTTTCCCAGGATTACTTAGTGAGGAATATCAGCATTTGAAAAATAAGAATGGCCAGAGGTCTTTAACAGTCTCATCAGAGGGTTCTAGAGAGGCTGAATCTTTTTGTTTTTGTTTTTTAAAGAAATATCTAATCTAATTCTGTATAAAAAATCTGAGAGCGAACGGAGAGCAAATGAGGAATAAAGTTAATAAATTAAAAATGAATTAAGAAAATACGACTTGTTCCCCACTGTTCTTCCAAGAGCCCACCCTGAGCTTGGACTGTCTCTGCTACCCATGCCTGCAGAGGTGAAGTCACAGGAAGGGAACCTGAGGGCGACCTTTCCAAATCATAGGAATCTAGGAGCCTGATCTCTGACTTCCAAATAAGGTTAAAGCACAGCTTTGTTATCCAGATTCTGAAATGTCAGCCAACTTCACCAGCATGAGGAGTGCAATCAAAAAAAGACACTGTGCACCAAAAGAAATATATCAGTCACTAAAATGGAAAGCCATATAGCAAATCTGATGTCAGCATCGATGAACATTTTTAAACGACAATAGAGTACTACATGGGTGTGCCCACCAAGATGAAGGAATGTTCTCTTCCTAGAGCCTAAATCTGCTGATGAGGAATCACATCAACTGGGCAGTAAATGGCATACAAAGGGGTACCTCTTCTTACCACGTTTTCTTTACCCACTAACACTATCTTCACTTCCATTTGCAGCTTACCCTTCATTTTTTTTTTTTAAGATTTACTTATTTATTTTAGAGGGGGTGGGGAGGGGCAGAGAGGGGGAGGGAGAGAATCTCAAGCGACTCCCCAGTGAGCACGAAGCCCGATGCGGGGCTCGATCTCACGACCCTGAGATCATGACCTGAGCCGAAATCAAGTGCCTGGACACTTAACTGACTGAGCCACCCAGGCGCCCCTCAGCTTACCCTTCATTTTAAACTCCCATGTCCTTATTTACATTTGGACTCTTTGAGCATCCTCCTTTCCTCCAGCGAATGTTTGAAACAAAAACACCTAAGAGAAACAACACTGGGATGCCAATTTTCACCATTACCTGATTTTTCCAACTTGTTACAAAGTGCAACTCATAAAACCAAGAGGGAGCATCATTCTTTGTGTGTGTTAAACACTCTTGGTAAAGCAACACCAAATTAAGGAGCCAAGTTTCGACAATGCTGTGGATACCCTTCTGGAAATCGCTTGTGAAATGGCAACTCCTTGAAGGCCCATATTTCATGAACTTGGCAAAACTCCCTTTCAAGGTCATTTCCAAATGCTTGTCTTATGCAGACCAGCATGCGTGGAACATCACTCCCATGGCACCAGGTCAACCCATTAGTCATTGCTGGAGGGAGCCTTCTGTGGTGAGGCAGCCTGCTTCAAAGTCAGATGGGCTTTTGAAAAGCATGCCAAGAAAACTTTCAGATTTGAAATGTTACAGAAGAGAAGGTCACAACATCTTTTAATGGCCTCCTATCCTTGCAGAAGGTTGCTGTTCATATTTTTACGCAAATATTAATATCTACCCAGTGTGAAAATCAGGTTAAAAAATGTGGTAAGTGAGTTTGCACATATGTCTTCAATTGAGCATGCTGCCGAGTGCCAAACTTCAACCAAGCTGATCAGACCGTAGGTCTGAGTAAAAGCCGAAAGTGGTGGAATCTAGTTGCTATAGCTGCAAATTAAACAAATAAATGAGACACCATGGAATGCGGCAAAATAGCTGTGATCTGATTAGTTCATATTTGCCATATGTGTGAATATTAGCAGTCAAATTCTGAGTTTAAGCAAAGTGCTTTGCAATAGGTGCGAGCGAGGAGAAATGCTTAAAAATAAATTAAGGGAGATTTGAATTCTATGTCCAAGGATTAATATCGTACCTGTTATATAAACTTTAAAGGAATTTCATTAACTTTTTATGTTAGGAGTATATACAAATGTGCTGTTGCTAAAAATACAAGATTTCCACCTGAGCATTTCTCCTTGAAGCTATAGACAGAGTTTGACGCTAGCTTCTTACCTACTATATGCTAATAGGTGAACATCATTAGCTATACGGGAATTTCATCGTATCTTTGCCATAAGATTCCTATCCTATCCTCTTTGAGGGGACTTCTATTCATGGAGCCTATTATGTGGCAGGTACCATGGTATGTACTTCCATAGCCAATCTCAGGAGCTCCTGCAAGAAGCTGTAAGTTCCCCACTCGTGGAATTCAGGAGAGAAATTTAAAAAGACCATTGAACAGAGAATTCTATTCTGACTAACCTCTTAAATCACTTACACTAAACCCCTTCCACAGAATGATAAAACCAGAGAAAACTCGAGAGGTCATCTGGTTCAGTGGCCCCTTCGAGGTGGCTCACGTGTCTTTATCGCTTAGAAGAGCTGCCTATAGACACAGAGTGCCTTTTGGGGTTAACCCGGTGTGAGAAAGAGCATGGAACAAAAAAGACACTCTATTGTGTGTGTGGCAGCAGGGCAGAGCATAGAAAGGGATGTTTACTAACATCAGTCTTTTTATCCTAACGCATATAGACAGTAGCCATGTGAAGAGTAGCACTTGGACATATAAGATAATTTGATATATTACCAGGTCACATGAAAGAACATATTTGATACGGATGAAAGGTGTTGCCTTAAGGGGAAACATTTCCACCCACCAGGGCTAATCCTTACAACTAGGTTAAAACGTATCTCAATTAGATCATTAAGGGCAAGCTCATTCTCTGAATATGGATATGGTAAAACAATAGGAAAAAGTCACCCTTGCTTAGATGAAGAGGAAAATCATCAGAAATGCCAGGAATGTTTATTAGTGTCTTGATGAGATATGTTTGTGAAATATAATGACGATTCATGGTGAAAGGCATCTATTCACTAGATGTTAACAAAGCTCCAAGAAGAGAGGCCCTGGGTGTGATAAGTGTGATGGGGTCGGTCAGCTCAGCATCCCACCCCCAGGTAGGGGCTGGCTAGCTGTGCAAGCCTGGGCAAGTTCTCATGCTGCACACTTGAAGGCCAGCAGATACAGTTCTGCTCTGGAAAAGGGGAAGATTGATTTTGAAAATTATAAGCCAGTGAGCTTGACAAGGATGCTGTGAAGTTCTAAAATGGGTCACTGAAGGGCTCGGGTAGGAAACAGAGAGAAGTTAATGATGATCATATGTGCCAGCTTAAGTTCACTTAGAGAAAATGATCTTATTTCCTTTTCAGAAGGTGTTACCAGACTGGGAGAGTAAGGAAATAGGATAGAAAGGCATTCACTCCACCATTATTCATTCATCCTTTCAAAAACATTTTCTGAGACCTACTATGTGCCAGGCACTGATCCAGAAGATGGGACTGTGCAAGGAAGCTAAGAGCATGAGCCTGCCGTTGAAGAACAAATTCAACAGTTCCAGACAAATGCAACAACATACTGCAAGTACAGGACAACGGATGCTGTCATAGAGGCCCATGTGGGGTAGAGGCTCGTAAAGAGAGGATGGTCAGTTCTGTGATGTAAGGCAGAGTTGATGCATGAGTGGACTGGGAGGAGAGAGAAGGTTTTGACAGGAAACTCAGGGCTGAGTGGACACTCGGTCCCGGAGAAACCCCATCTTAACCTTAAATGGGATCACGGAAGTTAACCAGTATTCCTAAAGGACCAGGCAGTTTGGGGCCAAATTTGATAGTTTAGCTTCAGATTCAAATAGAAAAAGAAAAAAAAAGAAAAAATTTTGAGTTGAAAATTTCCTGGTGGGTTGCCACAGTCTTTCCTTGCTGTTCTTTCTTCACTTTTTAACATGACTCAGATAAAGGAGCATGCAGATGACATGAGGATTCTTGCTGTCTTCATGATCTGGTGTGGACGTAAGGATTTGGGACAATGATTCTGGACTCCCAGGAAAGTTTCTTTTCCCACTTTATCTAAATGTGACCAACACGATGACCCCTCAGGATCTCTAGATATCTAGAATCCAGTCAAACTGGGAAACAGCAACACCTACTCTTCACAGGTGAGTTCTGTCCCCAAGCTACCATCCACCTGTGGCCAGTATCATCTTATAACCCTTTTCCTCACCAGATCCCTTGTCTGAGAACTCTCTCTCCAATATACGTATTGCATTAATTTCCTATTTCTCCATCCCTGGATATGGTGATAATCTTCAGTGGCCAATACCGCTGCCCCGCTCTTCCCTTCTGCTACCACATAGGTCATTTTTATCTAAATACCTGTCTTGACCTTAGGAACCAACTCTCCTCTCCCCACATGGTTACAAGGTGGTCAAAATTTACTGCTCTGAAAAATCAGTTATTTTGTTACTGACTTTACTCACAGCGGGAGCCTCCAAAGAAGCTTCAACTCAGGCACCTCAATTCAAATTAGTTTTATAGATCAATCATTTTATTAAATTCCAGTAGATCCATTTAATGACCCTTAAAATCTTTCTGTGTACTGTGGCTTCCCCAGAGCCCATGCTGTATTCAAATTGAGTTTAACAAGATGGAATTCACTAAGAATACACCTAAGGATCCTACATTTTGTATACAAAAGAACAAAATAATAACAACTTCGAATCTTAGCTAAACCACACACTGGTCAGATAAACATGTTGTGCAAGTTTCAGTATATGGTATAATGAACTGCCAAAAAGAGTTAATGGAGCTCAGACAACGCTATTAAGACAAGACACTGGCTAAACCGCTCTGTTGTTACTCTTGCCCAATCATACGGAACTGTAAAAACGAATCTAGACAAGCTGAAGCCTCATCAGGGGAGACTGAGCATGATGCTAAAAGGCCTGTATGACATTTTCTCAATAAACATTTACAGAGTGTGCAGGAATGCCAGAGACTATGCTAGGTTCTGGAGGAAAAGATGAAAGAAAACAACAAGAACAACATTTTCTGCCCTTTATGGCCTTATAGCCCATTGGGGGAATAACCAAATAATACTAATCAAACAATGTGATAAGTGAAATCCTAGGTGTCGGGACAAAGTGTTCTTGAGTGCAGGGAGAAGCGACCCACTCAGATACCTCAGAGACTCAGGACCGCTTCACTCACAGGTGGTGTCTGAGAAAGGGATGGAGCAAGGAGCCATCAGAACTTCAGATCTTCTAGAAAGGTAACTGAGGCAGCAGTGTGGAGAAAGTTCTGGTGAGGAGGGAGTGGGGAGGTGGGGAGATAAGAGAGAGCCTGTTGCCTCAGTTCAGTTGGCTGATGATGAAGCCTTGAACTAAAGCCGGGACGGTGGAGGAGGCTGGGGCAGTTTTGGGAGCTACTTTGGAGGTACATCTAGTAGGACTTGTCAACTAACTGTGAGGAATGTGGTAGAAAGAGGAGATTTTAGATGCTTCTGCCATTACTGAAGTGGCAACATGAGAGGAGTAACAAGACGAGGGGAGGGGTTAATGTGATGAATTTGTTTCAGTATGTTCATCTCAAGGTCCTTGTGTCAAATGCTGAGTGTGATGCCCTTTAGAAGTTGGACCAGGAAGTACAGACTTGGAATGACCCACATATAACAGAGACTGAAGTCATGGGGAAGAGTGAGATCCCCCTGGAAGAGAACATGAAGAGGAGAGACAGGTGGTTATTTGAATCCTGCAGAATGGATGAATGGACTGGGCGGATTTGAACTGGAGGAAAAAACAGAAGGTTCAGTTCCTTATGAGGATCTTCTTTCAGCTGAAAACCCCATGGTCCTGGTCCACTGTTGAAGCTCCATCATTAGAGATGCTCAAGTAAAGACTGAAAGGGAATTTGCCAAGATATTGTTCAGGGAACTGAGGTATCACATGGTGTATGGACCAGATGGTCTTTAGAAACACTTCCCAAGTTTTAAGATGTTAGGATTCTGTGCCTCTATGATAGAAAATGCAGCTTTGTTTTTCCACTTCACTTTCTTTGGCAGCTATCACTGATGCTTGCTGAGGTTGGAGCTTCAATTAAAAGGGAACTGGAAAGGATATAGTGATGGACTTCTGCCAAGGAGCTGGGTCTGTGGCTAATGAATGATCTGTTTGTGGTAATGAAGGAGGAAGCCAGTTCCTGAGACAACACCTTTGGGCCTGGCCCCACCTCTCCCCCAGCTACGAAGAACTGAGGGCACATGAATGGGAAACATATGAATGAAGTTTACTTTGAAATATCTATGGATTTAAGGATTAGGGGTAAAAGAACTTGAATAAACCACACTTTGGGTTTTGCTGACCCCAAAATATCTGAATATAATTTATAGACCTTTTGATGAACTCAAACTACTGCTGGGCCTGCTCATCTCTTCAGTGTAGCAAGAAAAAGGGCAGCGTGTAAGCCAAATAGTATTAGCCTTGAATTCTATCCTTACATGGAAAATTAGTTCTACAGTGGAATTTGTGATGTCAGAAAATTGCTTTAAAAAGCCATGGTCTATTACCCTAGAGAAAAAAGAACTAATCATCAGATAAAATAATCAATATGTGGAAATGCTTTCCAATAAATTTGACCTAGGCATTTCTATTTACTTGGCCTGTAACTCTCAGATGTTCCAGGGACCACACTGTGTTCTTTGGACATCATTTCAGGCCTTCTCAGGCAGTCTCAGGCAGGAAAATAATAAAGGTCAGTTTTTTTCATATGAAAAAGAAGATAGCCTTCTCGTGACCAACAGCAATTTGGTATGTACCAACCAATAAGACCCTCAG